GCACCGCGGCGGCGGCCCGCTCCATGCGCCGTGCTGCCCGTCCGCCGTGGTGCAGACGATGGAGGGCTCCCCAGCCAGCGCGTGGCCGGCGTCGCACGTGTAGGTGACCACGTCCGCGTAGGAGAAGGTGTCCGTGGCGTGGCCGCTGTGTCTCCCGTGGGGGATGTCCGGGGGCGGGACGTACCAGGTGGGTTTTAGCATCGGTGCTGCAGCAGCACGTGGGGTCTGCAGGGCACACGCGCTTCCCAGGAGGGCAAACCACGGGATGAACCTGTCTCAGCGGTGATGCCCTCTGGATACAACGAACCAAATTATCCAGTGACAATCCTTGTATGGAAAGAAAATCACATGTGGGAAGGAAAACCTGTGCCCTCCTGTGAGTCACTCCCTTGCTGCCCGTGTCCGGAGGTGGTGGGACAATTCTTACCTCCCTTTCCATAAGCATTGGTGACACATGCAGAGGGAGACTGGTATTCCTACACATGACCAGTGAGAAATACCTATCCCAGTAACAGGGAGTTTAAAATATTAAACTTTAAAATATCCCAGTTTGGACCAGAATAAATAAAAGACCTTTGGAAACATTTTCAGAAGCATATGGAACAAAACAAAATGAAAAGAAACATGGAATATTTTACATGTACAGTGACTTAAGAAATCTTTTGCAATAAAATCTTTGTCTTGAAAGATGTGCCACTTTCTCTTGAAGGCCATTGCCAAGGATGTTTTGCCTACTTACGCTGGCAGACAGGGGCATCTCCACTCCATGAGACACGTGTGCCAGAGAGCTCGCATGTCCTCTGAGATCCTCCAACCAACTTGTACCTGGGGTCACACAGAAGGATTTATTAGTTTACATTGAGAGACTTGATTTTTCTTAACAACCTTCGTTAAGTGGCAGCCGAGACTTCTGACTTGGGAACTGGGTTCCTTCTTGCAAAGCTGAAAAGTTGCTTCGCTCTCACTTGGCAGCAGAATTCAGCCAGTTGCAAGACTCACCCTTCGTCACACGTGTAATTCACTTTGGACCCGAAGAGGAGGTCCGTCAGGACAACAGCTCTGCCGTTCTCCGGATCCTCTGGATTCGCACATTGTTTCCCTGGAAGGGAACATCAGCCACTGTGAGCCCTCGCCTGCTCACTCCCACCCCACCCAGGGCTGCTGACACAGAGTGTGGACCACATAAAATAAAGAAACCCCTAAAGCCAGAAAAATGTGAAAATCCAGCCAAGCCTGACTCTTTAGGTTTTCCAGCACTTGCAGGACATACTTTTACAGAACTCCAGCGCCACAGACCACGTCCGATTCCCGAGGCATGTGATGGTCCGGGACATGCCCAGGTGCTGGGCGTACCCAGGGCGACACACGTATTCCACCGTCCTCCCCACGGGAAAGATGCTCTGGTTGCCGTACGGCTCCTTCGGCTCAGCAAACGCCAGTCTGGCAGGTGAATTGCAGCCGGCTACGAAGAAAGATAAGCCAGCCCGGTTGTTAAAGGAGTCAAGAAGAAGCAAATTTGGGAGAGCAGGGGGAAGGGTAACGTTCAGAGCACGGGTTGGACACTTGCCCTGCTCGCAGACTGGCAGGGGTGGCTCCCAGGTGTTATTTAGTTGGCACTGTACCACTCCGTGGCCACGGATAACGTAGCCTGGCTCGCACTCAAAAGCGACAGTGTCCTTGTGTGTGTAGGCATTCCGAGGAGGAGACACTATTCTCCCGTTCTGGATCTGTGGGACAGGACATCTCGCCTCTGGAAAAGAAGTGCAGGTCCTCAGGACAGGCACTTAGGCAGCGTGCGGAGCTGTGCAACCACCACTTAAGTTTGCAATCCCTTTTAAGACACAAGCCTGAAAATAATTTGCCCATAGATGGTGCACTGCCTGCGCCCAGCGATGCCAAACACTGCGGGAGAGACCCAAGCTGAAAGGTGAGGCTGGGGATGCTGGAGGCAGCAGGTGGTCCTCCATCCCCCTCCCCTCTGCTGCAAACCAGCCCTTGCAGATCCTGCCCCAGCAGGCACTCGGGCAAGACGTGTGGTTGTCTGGAGGTGTCCTGGTCTTTCCAAATCTGAAGCAGTAGGGCCAGGAGGATTGCACCTGAGTGTTTGCACGTGCACACGCAGCCCTACCTCCACACTGGGGCGGGGGGCCGCTCCACACGCCGTTTTTCCCATCGTGGGTGGTGCAGTAGATGGAGGGCTCTCCGTGGAGCGGGTGCCCGGGGTTGCAGGTGTATGTTACAGATGTGCCAAAGTGGAATTCATCCAGCAGCCTGCCCGTGTGCTTCCCATTGGGAATGTCTGGGGGTGGCTCACAGGGGATACCTGCAGAGATGCAGAACAAGGCTTCCAAATTCAACAGCAGCACCAAAGTATTTTAAATTCCTCAGTCTGTGGCACATAAACACTTGTCCTAGAGATGGAGTAACTGCAATGGAGTGACCTTCTAGTTGAGGCCTTGTAGGCAATTTAATTTCATCTCCCTGGCCAGCTGTTTCTGTGATAGTTAGAAAGCAGACCAATAAGACATACCTCTGAGGAGGAAACACCTACATGCTTTGTCTTTTTTACTGTTTCAGAAATAAAAAAGCAAATATTTCCTTTGTATTGTAAAATCGTGATTTTGCAGCTGCAGACAGCGCAAAGGCACACACAGGCAGAAATTTGTGTGTGTCATAGAATCACAGAATACCAGGTTGGAAGGGACCTCAAGGGTCATCTGGTCCAACCTTTCTTGGCAAAAGCACGGTTTAGACAAGACGGCCCAGCACCCTGTCCAGCTGAGTCTCCAATGTTGGGGAATCCACCACTTCCCTGGGGAGATTACTCCAAGGGCTGATTGTTCTTACGGTGAAAAATTTTCCTCTTGTGTCCAATCAGCATCTCCCCAGGAGTAACTTGTACACATTACCCCTCTTCTTTTCCATGTGAGTCTTTGTAAAAAGGGAGTCTCCATCTTCTTTGTAGCCACCCTTTAAATACCAGAACATGGTCATAAGGTCTCCCCTGAGCCCCTTTTCTGAAGGCTGAGCAAACCTCGTTCTCTTCAGGTTAATATGTACCTGGAGAACCTGTAAAATGCTGTAAAATCCCAGAATGTCCCAGTAGATGTTTCTTACTCATACGAAACTGTCACCTAATCAGCAACAGTACTTAATGAGCAGAGGAGCACCCAGGTGTGATCACCAAGGTGCGGCACGGCAGCGCTGTGGGTACGCAGCAGTTATCCGTGCCCGTGGTGAGCGGGAGAGCCCGCGGATTGGGACCTTGGGATTCCACTTCTGGCCCTCCCACAGTGCTCTGCCTCGTCTTAGGGTTGTGCCTTGGCCTCTCGCTGTCTAACAAGAGCAACCCTTAAGCTTTTCAGCTTAATATTTTCCCTTCCTGTCTTGTAATGGGTTCCTGATGTCAGTCGTGGACAGGATGCCCAAGTACTGCTGAAAAAGCTCCAGCTGAGACGTTGCTTTCTATAATCCATTAAGCTTTGAGATCTTGCATCTTTTCCCAGAACATTTTCTTATAACATCAAAACCTGGTATTTTTCATGCCCTTAGAGCAGAGAAATTCTCCGTGAAGGCTTTGATTGGAAAGATTTGGCAGTCTCTGCTGGAAAACATTTACGGGGTCCATGCAATACCCACCCCCCCGAGCTGTAAGCTACTTACGCTGACAAGTGGGAACGTCTCCACTCCATGCAACACGTCCACCAGAGATCTCACATCGTCTGCTGGATTGTCCAACTAACCTGTGCCTGGTGTTAAAAGGATTGAACGTTCATCCCAAGTTATTTCAGTCTGAGTCACTACCTCCTCCTGACCGCCTCGGACGGTGCGAGCAGTGGTCCTGAGGGAGAAGTTCCCTTCCTAGCCCTATTCCAGTTTCACAGTATGTACATGTATACGTCAAATAGCAAACACCTTATGTGTTCTACAGGTACAGAACTCTATACAGTGGCTTCTGCGTAGAATCCATTTATTGGGAGTGAAGGAATAGGTGGAAAAAAGGGAGATGTCCTCAATACACCTCTCCTCGCTGTTTTAAGCAGTAACCAAAACCAGGACTTACCCTTCTTCACAGCTGTAGCGCACTGTTGACCCAAACAGCAGATCTGTTAGGAAAATAATTTTCCCATTCTCAGGTTCACCAGGATGATTGCATTGTTTCCCTGGGGGAGGAAAAATCCTCATTTTAGGCTTCTGTCTGTCTACACCACGGTACAACAGATGCAACTATTACTCCAGTAATCTGACCACATTTCCAGTTACCCCCAAAACAGGTTTCGAATAACATAAAGTTACATGGCTTTACTAGTCACATATTATTTGAACAGCAGAATAACGTTTGGGTTTTGCAGCATGGACAGAACCTAGCACCTATTCCTGCTTCAACAACGGACACCAAATCAAGGAGCTATTCACTTTTACAGAACTCTAGTGCTTCTGACCACACTCCGCTCTCAAGGCATGTAATAGTAGGTGACATTCCTGGGTGTTTAGCATATCCGGGTCGGCAAGTGTATTGCACAGTCTTCCCAACAGAAAAATCAATCTCATTTTTATGCCTCTCATTTAGCTCAGCAAAGTGTAACCTTGGAGGAGCACCACAACCACCTATTGAGAAAGAAAACAGATGTGAGGATCAGGCAGGGCAGGTGTGCTGGGTGCCAGCACAGAAAGAACACTGTTATGAGGAAAGGCGTTTGGTTTGCCTTGCAAAATTGCTAATTTTGATTAATATAACCATTGTTAAACAAACACAATATATTTTCCCAAAGGATTCCAGAGGATTAGGTTCTTATTCCCAGGATATACTTAAATCCTTCACTTGCAGGGTTTAACTACATTTTTTAAGCAGGTTTAGGGGACATAAAATAGTAGCATACCCCAAGGCAGCTATGTCACCATTTACCTGGAAATTCAGGCCTGTTTGAGAGCTCCTGGTAGTGGTACTGTCTGTCGCAGGTGGGCACAGGAGGGTCCCAGCTGCCATCCTCCTGGCAGAAGACTTCAGCACTGCCTTGCAGGCGGTGACCGTCGTGGCACTGAAATGTCACCGTTTGCCCAGGTGCAGAGATCAGCCCTTCACCATCCACTCGCCTTCCATTCTCTATGTCTGGATTTATGCAGACAGTTTCTGCAAACGATGGCGTGCCAAAGTGGTGTGCAAAAGAAGTCGGAACAGAACGAAACACAAAACCCACAGGCTGTTAATGCTGCAGCAGCAAAACCTACATGACATCTGCATAAACCTCCCCAGCGCCCCCTTCGCAACAGAAGGGCTTGAAATTAATTTATACCATGCAACACTGCATGGGATTAACCTTCTCTGAGGATGTGGTTGCAGCGGTGAGGGTCTCCCCTGTGCTCCTTCTCCCCCGAGGGCACAGACCCCAGACCCACCTTCACAGCGAGGGCCGGGCTGGCTCCAGTTCCCCGACACTCTGCAAAACACAGCGGCGTTTCCAACCAGGTAGTAGCCGGGATGGCAGGTGTACGTTACAGACATTCCCATGGTGAAAAAGGCTTTGCCCTGGCCGTTGTGATGTCCATTGCGGACCCCTGGAGGCATGGGGCACGGGCGGACTGCAAGAGGGAGACAGGGTCTAACTCAGTGAGAGAACAGCGTGCGCGGTGTGATGCTGCGTTGATGGTTAAAGCCCATCGCAGGAACGACTCCGCCTGCACACGCTGCTCCTGCCTGCAAGGAGCACCCTGGGCAGGGCTGCCCGCGGGGGAGCACCAGTGCTCACCCCTCTCGCAGAGGAGCGCCGGCGGGTTCCAGATCCCCCCCGGCTGGCACTGAGCCTCGTAGCTCTCATCTGCGGCGTAACCGGCGTCACAGGCAAAGCGAAGAGTCTCTCCAGCTTTGTAGGTGCTCTGCAGCCCGTGGACCCTCCCGTTCTGCACCTCGGGTGTCTCACATCCGATTGCTGCGGGGAACGTGGACAGCCTCCTTTAAACTTTGGTGCAAGGGCCAGATCCTGCACATGAGCCCCCTCCCTTCTCATCACTGCCACAAACCCGTTGCACGGTTCTTGCAACCAGGACACCCAGTGTCCTTTCTGCCAGCCCCACACCTCGCGGTGATGCACCCACCCACCTTCACAGCGGGGCAGGGGTCTGCTCCACAGCCCCTTCTCCGTGCAGTTGATGGACACGTTCCCCACCAGCTGGTAGCCATCCTTGCAGCCGTAGTACACGGTCACCCCCTGGGAAAATTTGTCCAAGGACTGCCCGCTGTGCAGCCCGTTGGCGATGTTTGGTGGCCGAGAACATGTCACCTCTGGAGAAGGAAGAGAAATTGCCCTGTGAGTCAGCTGTTGACCATTTTGTGTGCCACAGAGGCTGTTCGGATAATGTCAGGGCCATCTCCTGAATTCTCCTCAGTCTTTGTTCCATTTGCTGGACCAAAGTACCAGTTCACAAAAGGTACAGCAGCACCAAGCTTACAATCACGCTGCAGCTGGAGGAAATGACTAATAATAAGGACAGTCCCGAGAGGAGAACTCAGAAGCACATCATGGGCTTTGGCAGAAGATGCCCATGGACACAGAAGCAGCAAGAGCAGCGAGAAGCTGTGATTACTTCCCATTCCAGGAGGAAGATGAAAACATCCCACATGTGGCCAGAAGCAGAGTCACAGAAATCCCCCCGGGCAGCAGATACTGCCCTCCCGAGGCTGTGCCCTGCCGCTCCTGAGCTGCTGGGGAGGTTGCAGCCTCCTGCTGCACAGCAGCTCAGTCCCAGGGTTAACTCCTTCCCTTCCCTCTCGGAGCCCAAGACGGGGCAGGCTGCCCGTGTCCCACCCCAGCTCCTTCCTTCTGAGCCATTCCTGTCTCTCTGAGAGCCAAGCTGGCAGCGCTTTGGTTCGAGAAGAGAAGCCAGGAGGGCAGATGCATCCCAGCTTTGCTTTCCCACCAAATTTGGGAGGACAGAGAGGGAGCTTCCCCCGCTGCTGCCATGCTCGCACCACGCGCTGGGACACTTGCCCTTTTTGCACGCTGGCAGAGGTGGGCTCCATCTGAAGCCAGCTTGGCAGGTGCTCGTGCGGGAGCCCTGCAAGGTGTACCCTGTGTTGCACACGAAGCTCACGGTGTCCCCGATCCTGTAGAAATAGTGACCCGTGGGTATTGTCTTCCCATACCGGATGCGTGGCGCCAGGCATCGGGTAACTGGAAAAGGGAGAGAAATAAAAGGTTTTTTTCCTACACGGTTCTCAAGCTGGTCCTGCCAGTGACAGCTGCCATGCCCACGCAGCCTGTCGATCCCTGAGCGGTGGGACGTGGCAGAGACTGCATGATCTGGAATACTCCATCAGCCAGTTTGGCCCTAGATCATAAGTCCAAGTTCAAATCTTAAGGGGAGTTGGGGGCCCTTTGTCCCGGCCATGCTCCCCCCAAGCCTGTTGTGCTCCTGCACGCTGGCAAGAACATGGGAAGCTGAAAAGTCCTTGAGGTCCCAGTGCCAACTATAACCATCAGTGCACTATCAACATCCTTCTCAGAACGAATCCCAGACTAAAACCAAAACACAGAGCTCTTCTAGCTGCTAAAAATAACTAACGCTGTCCCAACTGAAACCAGGACAACTACCAAAACCACTTCTCAAACCTTGCCAGGGCAGCCAGGGCACAGCACCTTGCGCTTGCAAGACAGGAGGGGATAGACCAAAGCACACTGCAGAGATAGAGCCAAGGTTCTGTAGGTTTTGGCTATCCTGTCCCAAACGAGGGGCCACCTCAGGCTACCTGCCAGGCTTTCGTGCCCTGCGGGCTTTCAGACCGAACATGGCAAACAGCTCGGTCTTGTTTGCCATTTTACTCTCCTGCCTCATCCCAACGCATTTCTGTTTATCGCAGCAAGTTTCAACTTGACGGAGCTCAAACAAGACCTGTTATTGGAACAGGCTCCTCGTCTCGCTGCCGTGAGGTGCCGTATCCATGACCAACTTTGCTGCGACTGTTTAAACACGTAGGTCAAACCCCTTCTTACGAGAAGCTGGGCACGTTGCGAAAGACTCTCCGTAGCCTCCCGCAGCGAGGTTATAGCTCCTTTTCCCCCGGCCGCTGAAGGCACGGGGTGGCCCTGGTGCTCTCCCAGAGGGTCTTTATCATTAGCAGAAGAGCTCCAAGCTCTGTGATGCTCAGGGTCTGGTGTGCCGAGGTCCACTTGGGACCAGCACAGGGCTGCTGTCTGCCTCCGCAGGCAAAAGCAAAAGGATCAGTGAGGAGAGGAGAAGGGATGAGGCAGAGGAGGGCCATGGGAGGAAGGGCACCCAGAGGAGCATACCCGCCAGTCTCCCTTACCTTGAGCCTCAGCTGTGGTGGCCAGGAGCAAAGCAGAGCTGCCCAGGAGGCGGAGGGCGAAGGCGAGCACCATGCTCCGGTCCCTGGCGCAGACTGCGGCTGCTGGGGGGCCGTGGGAAGATATGGGCACTCCAGTTCCCCCTGCCACCCCCCACCTGCGGAAGGAGCCGCAGCTGCGGGGCTTCCCAGGGCCGCGGGACAGGAACCCGTGGGCACGGGGCAGGCGCAGCCACCACCCCAGGGGATGAAGGTCCCACACGCTGCTTCTGCTGCTAATTTTGGCTCCCGGTGCAGAGGAGGATGGGCCCCCTGGGACCCACTGCATGGCCCACGGGCATCTGTGAAAGAAGGGTGGGTGCAGGCACAGAGGTGCCCTCAGCCAAACCATGCCCTCAGTGAAGAGCATCCTCAGTGAGGGGTAGTGGCCTGGGCTTTGTCCCGAATCCCCAGCCCTTCCCATGAAGCAGCTGAAGGGCCAGGGCTCACCTGCCTGGCTATCGGAAGGACAGAGCGTGGCATTCCATCCTCCTGCACACCCTGGACCGGTGGCGGGGGGGGACACGTCTGTCCCCTGGGGCCACGGGTGCTCAGGCCAGGAGGCACAATGTGCAGCTGCGGTCCCGAATCCTCCCGAGCCGACCCTGGCTGCTGTAGGACTCATCCCATCTGGTGTCATCCCTCGCTGCTGCCTGGAAGAATATAAATCCACAGACTGGACTTCTTGGTGCCGGAGCAGCCGCAGCACCCTCCAGCTCCCCACCCGCAGAGCAGAGATGCTTTCTAAGCCTAAAACAAGCAGCGAGATGTGTTATTTCATCTCTTTTATTGACAGAGGGCTTCCAATATTTACATATCCAACACTTATAATTCAGAATTATGCTTGATGGGTTACACTCAGATTATAAAGTAAAATTATGTACAACTCAATTACAAATACAGTAGGTAAACACTCTTCCACAGTAAATTTTGGTGACCGCACCCGTAAGCTATGTCACAGCATTTACAGTTCCTTCTGTTTGGTTGCGGGGAGTTTGTTTCAAGCTTATCCCTAAATCAGGTGTTAAATCATTTGGAAACTCTGGACTATGCAGTAGGAACAACTGTGCTGGGAGTAAAATAACAAAACAGGACATAAAAAGCTACGAGGTTTTACATTTGTGTTTTGTCCATCCAGTCACTCGCACGGCTTACAGCGAGAGATATATAAAAATAACCAACAACCTGCAAGTGCTTGTTCTGCAAGACTGGCTTCTGAGAAGGGTCCCTCGCGGTGCCCCGGTGACAGCTGAGCAGGACAGTGCTCTGCTGGGAAGGGAGAACTTGGGGGGGTCTATCTGGAACAAGACTAATGCGTTGATGGGAATGGCCACTTTTGGTTTTCCCTCTAATTAGATGCATGTTCCTGTTAACAGGAACGCACTGGTGAAAATGCAGAAACAAAAAGTATGGAGTCGACACATTTCGAGTACTTCCCGTTCCCAACTGCGCATCATGAAGAGCTCACGGACAAGTCATTTACCTCTGCGTCAGCCAAAACCCCCAACCTCCAAATCTTGCTTTACCAGCAGCTATCATCCAGTGTCTCAAGCTGGATTCAGGCGATCGCTGAACACAAGTTTAAATCCTGTCACGGTTTTGTTTCCCTTATAAACAGGATTCCCAGGAAACCTTCAGATCTTTACTTCATTTTACGAGATGCTACATAGCTCTTTAGCTTGTATTAAGTTTATCGAGGCTGAGTAAAAGCCAGGAAAGGACAGTGCCACCACCACGTGGGCTTTCTATCCACCAAAGAAACCAAGGAGACTTCTGCCTGTGTCTTTGGTAGATACAAGGTGAGTGAGGTCCTCGTGGCACCGCCAAAGCCTGAGGGAGGGCTTAATTCAGCCCCATGAAGGACTAAATTAAGGCTTTGGCTTCATGTGCATCTACTTTGGTGCAGCGTCAGAGCAGCAGCCGCCCACCAGCCCTGCCACAAGCAGAGCAAGAAGCCAAAAACCTGCTTTTCCTGCCCAGCATCACAGCAGCCCCAAGGCATCCCAGGGCTGAGCTGGGCTCAGGGTGCACAGCACCACCCGACAAACCCTTTGGAGTGCAAACTCAGACAGCGATTCCCTGCACCAGAGTCACCCCGGGCAGGTGGCATCCGAGCAGAAAAGTGAAAAGGTTCACACGCAGAGACTTTCTGGTGTTTGGTGGCATCTGCCAAGACACCTGCAAGTTCTGCATCCGGCCCGGACACCAGCTGCATGCGGATGAGCTCTGCTGCCCCCGAGCACCCACCCAGCTGGGTTCCTCCCGGGGCTTTCAGCCCACTGAAAGCTTCACGGCTTCAAGAGAAACGCTGAGCCACTGCAGAGGCAGGAAGGGTGTTTCCGCGAGGTACTCGCAAAAAACCCTCAATGTGATGCAAACATAGTGCCAGCGCAGAGACCTTCAGCTGAAGTTTAAAACCGATTTTAGCATATACAGGAAGAGTCAGAATAGTAGCTCTTTGTCTTAAAGCATTCAAATTTTTTTCTCTCTGGTGAAATTACAATGGCTCCAACTTGCTCTGAAGTAACAGCTACAACTGTGCTTTATATGAACGCTTTCGATGTGCTCAGTACCCACAGGTAACACTCATGTGTCCTGTACAAAACTTCATTTTTTCAAACACCTGTCACTAACATGAAGACATTCACCATTAATCCCCGCAGCAGCAGCAGCACTTTTCACCTTGGAACACAAGAAACCTGCGGATCCTGATCAGGACCAGGCACAACATGACCTTAGCGGGGCTGAGAAACAACAAATGGAGGTACCCAAAGCGCATGAGTTTCTGGAGTCTACTCGATTGCCACCGAAGGTCCCTGGCATCGTTGCGACTTAACATGGGGATGTAACTGCACTTGATCTCTGAGCAGGGCTCTCACTTGGGTGGCACAGAGCCCACAGCCCCGTGCATGAGCTGCAGCTGCAGCCAAAGGCATCCCAGGCAGTGGTGGGAGAGTCTGGGCTTTGGCATCTGAGGTCAGCGGGTGGCGGATCCAAGGCCAAGTTCACAGGAGAGAAATGCAGAGTGCTGGGACCAGCATGATCGAGTCTAACACATCTACAGGTGCCTCACTGCTGTGCCTGTGCACTAATCTAGATGTTCATAACCAGCGCTGCCAGGAGGAGGGGGAAGATTCCTACAAGAGACAAATAAGAAGCTTCAGTCTTCAAACATATTCAACCTCTTTTCCCTCCCTGGTCCCCTTTACCTTCCCCCTCCTTCTCACAGCAACATAAACAACAACATAAATCTAACACCAGTCCATAGTGGAAGGTTTTTAAGCTTGTTTCAAGCAGAGTCAAGAACATAAAGACAGGCAAGAGCGTGGTACAGGGGTGCAGGAACAGAAGGTACTACTTACCAACAATGACCACGTTGGCTCCACCTGGAAGGGAAGTGAGCCAAAACGTGAAACTCGGCACCATTCAGCACAGTAATTCATCAAACCACACAACATGCAGCATCTCAGATCGGAGCCAATGCACGTGGAAGACAATTCAAGCAACACACAGCCCAACTCCACAGATGTATTTCCCAGGACACAGTTCCACTAGCCTGCGAGTCCATGCCATACCTATTCATGCTCTTTTGGCACTAGATTTTAACTGAAGCTGTTTCAGGAAGCATCAAGGCTTACTCCTCAGCAGAATTATCTGATTTGAGGATTCAGAGGAAGGGAAAAATAGGTGTTTTGAAAATAGAGGAAACAGCAAGACAGAAACAGGAGATAGTCACCTCTGCATTCAGGAGCGGGCTTGTTCCAGGCTCCCCGGTATTGATCTGTTGCAACACACTGAAGAAAGGCTTCTCCAGCAAGGGTGAAGCCATCTTTGCATCCATAAGCTACAGTGGAGCCGTGGACAAAGTTTGTGCCCTTTGTGCCATTGTGCATCCCATTGTCAATCGTGGGGGGCTCTTCACAGAGAACATAAGGGAGCTGTCCCACGTCACCTCTGCACTCGGGAGTAGGCTTGCTCCAGACTCCATGGTGTGGACGATCTACTCCACAATAAATAGAGGCTGCTCCGGCAAGGGTGAAGCCAGCCTTGCATTTATAAACTACAACAGAGCCTTGGACAAAGTTTGTGCCCTTTGTGCCATTGTGCATCCCATTGTCAATCGGGGGGGGCTCTTCACAGAGGCTGTCGGGGAGCTGTCCTACAGAAGGAACATCAGCAAGAGTGTCTGAGTACTTCTGCTAACTGAAAAGGTGCAGAGGTGTATGGGGAGAGGGAGGTACAGCCGTGCATCTAGCAGCAACTGAAAATACTTTGAGCTTTCTTGGTTGGTACTGGACCTCAGTTACTGCCCGTTAGCCACAACTCCAGGATCTCACCCCATGAAATAAGCCACAGAAGTGCCTAATCAGGCTGGAAGATACGTTTCAAGCCATTTCTAGCTTCACATAACACTATATACTGACTCTGTAACACCTGATTTCAGCATTATACCAATAGAGAGGACAGAGTTCTAACACCCAATTACCTTCATCTCTCCCTGGTAACTAGAGACAGAAAACTTTCCTCCTGTGACTGTTTTTTTCTATAGCTTCTGCTCTTCCCTTGCTCCTTCCACTTTGTTAGCATAATTTCTGAATCATATGAGAATATTGCACCTAAGCAACGCCTCACAGCATGAGCTGAAATCATGAATTTTGCAGTTGATTGAACGAAGAAGCGCAAGTAAGAGCGGCCCAAGCCCACCAGCAAGGCAGCTACACCAGCACAGTCCCAACTGTTATCTTAGTGGCTCTGTGCAGAGTTTTTCCCCTTACTTTCACAGTATGGAGATGCTGTATCCCAATCAACTCCATTTCCTGATACCACACATTTGGCAGAAGATGACTCCTTTAATTCATACCTAAAGAAAGGGAAGTTTAGTACCTTCCAGAAGACAACCCAAAGAGGATCCTTCCCTCTCCTCCCCACCACTGCAACAGGCGAGTTATTAACCAGAAGCTGCCCCTGCTATGAAATGGGACCTGGCCACATCAAAGCCACTAAATCAGGGCACTAACAAGAGCTGAACTGAAGCAGTTCACTGCTCTCCCGAGCACACGGGTGTTGCCACATGCTCATCTCACTGAAGACATAATATATGGTTTCACTGGGGACTTGCACTGGGAAACCAGGGAGGGAGGGGGGTGGTGGATGTTACTGCCTGTGACCTCTGCCTTCTGACCGCCCAGTCAGTCCATTTTCAGCAATGATCAGCTCACCCAGGATGACAAGTGAATGTCACAACTGTCTCAAACAGGAAATTGTCTGCAACCACATCCCCGTTCTCTATCGTGGGACGAGTACACCGCTGTCCTAGGGGAAAAGAAAGCAGCACAGGAATTATGAGAACTCAGAGATGGGCATGATCCAAATTTCACAATAACATCTCAAGCACATACAGATCACTCGTACAGTCAGTCAGGGCGAGACAGGAGCAGAGATACTCACGGATACAGAAGTCTGGGTCTGCAGACCATGTGGCATCATTCAGACAGGTGACAACAGAGGACTTCCCACTTGCTGCAGTATAACCTGGTTTACACTGATACCTCAGCTTAGTTCCGGCAGGAGAGCTGTCACCTGCAGCCGTTACACCCTCAGCAAAAGGGAAGCCTGGGGCAGGACCACAGTGGACTAAAAATCAGAGACAAAAGCAAGGTTAGCTACAGAAGAGCACCCAAAGGGTCTGCAATAACAACGGTGAACTGCATGTCTCGGAGCACACAACAAACATTTTAACCTGTTTGAATGTCAGTGGTCTGGGATACACTTTGCATCCAACCCATTTAGCAAACAGCAGCATATATCGCTGTTTGCTTAAGCAGACAAAAGATGGAGCTTGGGTGGCACCTCTGCCTTCGCTGACCACCCCCCTGACCCATGGGACCAGCTGAGCTCAGAAGCCAGACATCCCCAAAAGGTCTGGAAGCTGGTGCTGAAAGGCTGTCGGGTGTAGAAGGCAGTTTTGTCTCTCCTTTAGGTGCACTTTTGGATCATTTGCAGGTCACAAATATACAGCTTCAGGTCCAACCGGGCTGGGCTGCCATGCCAAGGAGCCAAGCCAGCACAAGGCTCACAAGGTGATCTGCTCAACAGCTCTTAGACCTACTTCAATGCCATTGCTCAAGGAAGTAAATGTTTGCACTCACTTGGGTCACATGTTGGCAGAGGTGGCTTCCAGGTATTGTCTGCTTCACAAGTAACTACACTGCTACCGTTCAGTAAGTGACCGGGATCACACTCAAAGGCCACTGTACTTTTATATGTGTGCCCAGTGCCAAAGCCAGATAATCTTCTCGCGTTTTTCACTTCTGGATTTTTACATCTGACCTCTGGAAGTGAAAATAAGACAATAAAAACATTTATTATGAGAAGGGAGAGAGATGTTTTCTGTGGGCTGAAGAATCCATTAAACCAAGCCCTGCCTCTGACCATGAGCTGCATTAAGCTTTCTGGGAATCCTTTTAGACTCAACTCTCTCATGTTTGGCAGCCCATCAGGAAAGCACAGATGGTGAGAGGGATGAGGAACAAAGTCAAAAGAATAAGGAGAGAAAGAAAACATTTACCTTTGCATTCAGGGGCTGGACTGCTCCATGTTCCCTCGAGGTTATCATCCACTGTACAGTCAATCGTGGCATTTCCAATAAGATTCAAACCTTCGTTACACTTGTAGGTCACAGCCATGCCAACGGTGAAGTCTCCGTCCCCGTTCATGATCTGCCCATTCTCAATCACAGGAGGTGGTAAACAGGGAATAACTGTATGAGAAAGCAACAGCAAGAAAATGCAAGAACATTTCCATTGAATATGAAACTGAGGTCTAGCTGCTAAAAAAACCTACAACGAACAACCCAAACAAAAAAAAATAATAAAAGCCAAAGGAAAAAAAAAAACAGTCTTAAAACAGTCTCAACCTAAAGTATTGAATGTGCCTTTAAATTATGAATGTTCTCCAGGTTTTTTTAATGGATAAATGGTACAATGACAAAACAGTATCTATTGTCCAAAAAGAGACACTACAGAAGAGGCCTTCTGCAGGCAATAAACATGGTCTCACCAAGCAGTCTGGGACCCTCACCTACTGATGATGGCATTTCCTACCTTCGTTGTGCTGACCAGGCTGAGGCCAGAGTACCTATTACAGCAGCAAATCATCTAAACTATCAGCAGCTGATAGTCAGGCCCATCCCACAGGATGCTAAAAAAGCCCAAATAGCACCAACAAAACTCTTAGAATTTTGAAAAACTGAGATTTTGGATGCACAGTCAATGTCTGAAGGCATCCCAGTCCTGGCCAAGTGCAGCTCTTGATAAACAATTCAGCAACGGCTGCCTGACGGAAAACACAACATGAGGGATGCAGCATCCATACCAGCTGGGTGGAACGCTTGTGGTACCGACACGCAGCCTTGGGAGCTGCTCCTCCCACACATGTGACTACAGAGCTGCTGCCAACATCCACAGATCCTCCTTAGAATTCAATTTTCACATCCAGCTCCAGCGAGAGTGCTCGTTTGGGGGAGAGGTAAGGAGTCACTCTCATTAAAGGCTAATGTAATTTGCATTAGGTGCCAAGAAGAGAGTATCCACCTGCCATTCCCCAGACTACCAGATATATTGGAATAGCTTTGAGGAAGAGATGTACACAAAACATTTAAGATCTGCTTACTGGTACAGTCTGGAATCCTACTCCAAGAAACTTCATTGTTTGTAAGCACACATTGTGCAGTCGACTTCCCAACTAATCGGTACCTAAGAAAAGAAAAGGTTGAATCTCTTTGAAAAAAGTGAAAAAAACCACCACTCGGGAAATTCAGAAAGTTGTACAGTTTCTACTGGTATTCTTGGGAGGAGCTGAACACTAGGGGGAAATCAGCTAGCCTATAAAATACAATTTTCTCAATACCTAAAGGAAAGCAATATCTGATGCAGTTAGAGATAATTTGATACTTGCTGTGGGTGGATACAAACTCACAGGAGCGCGGGCAGGACAGCGTCCCTGCCCTGAGTCTCTTCAGCCCCGTGCTGTGCGGTGGGAGATCCAAATAGCAGCTTATTTTCTGAGCAAAG